TTAGTTCACTGTTTCACACTAATTTTATTGGTTAGTACACTATTTCATATTAATTATATTGGTTAGTACACTGTTTCACATTAATTTTATTGGTTAGTACACTATTTAACATTAATTCTATTGGTTAGTACACTGTTTCACATTAATTTTATTGGTCCGTGTACTAACCAATAAAATTAATGTGAAACAGTGTACTTGTTTCACATTAATTTTATTGGTTAGTTCACTGTTTCACATTAATTTTATTGGTTAGTACACTGTTTCACATTAATTCTATTGGTTAGTACACTGTTTCACATTAATTCTATTGGTTAGTACACTGTTTCACATTAATTTTATTGGTTAGTACACTATTTAACATTAATTTTATTGGTTAGTACACTGTTTATTTTCACATTAATTTTATTGGTTAGTACACTGTTTATTTTCCCATTAGTTTTATTGGCTAGTACACTGTTTCACATTAATTTTTCTCGTGTATTTTCCCTGATTTTTACCATATATTCGATTCCATTGCTTCAAAGTAAGCCAATATTGCCATTCAAATTGAAAAAGTTTTCTGGCGAACCATGTCCCCAAACACTTTTTGTTCCGCCAGGTTTGGGCAGATGCAGTATTGACAAGTGAGTGAAATATCACGTCCCCTGACCTGTCAAAGCGTTCAGAATACAGTGTTTTTTGGTTTTTTTTAAATATTTTCAATTTTATGAATTTCAACGACGATGGTTAAAGGTTTATTTTATCTATTTCTTGTTTGGGCAAAAACAAAACGCAGGATTTTACTTAAGTTAAGTGTAACGTACAAAATCTCATCCAATGATCGTAGAACTGTTTGCATCTCAGATGTGACTGAAGGCTGAACATCCTAACTCAACAAGAATGCATAAACATACGTACGCAATTTGTTTCCATCGACAGCTCTAAGCTCCAACCTGGGCATTCCTGGACCTAAACATTCCAAAATATAAAACTTTGCTCCAGGACTAAAGGTGGCACTGTTGAACAAACAGTTGTCTCCAATAGCACACGTCAGACATTCTTTTGAACGATTTGATGAAGTGAGGTCTGTGATGCTAAACAGGTGTCTTTGTCCTGATTTATTTTTCAATGTGCTGATGTAATATCTACATATAAAAAGAGATAAAATAACCCGAAAGTGACAATTAACACTGGATTTATTTTTTTTAAACGATAATTTTCATCTAGTATTAAATATTGATCCTAAACAAGTAAAACAAACAACAGGAAATACTGTGATCGATATGCAAATACAATTATAGACTATCGTATAATGAGTAAATTATATGGTTGATCAACAATAGCAGTTCGTGGTAGTATTCAGGAAGTGTATTATTCCACATCACCGATTCAACCGGAATATTATTCTTTTGTCAGTCAAAAGGTGATATATATACATATGCAACGATAACTAAACCAACAATCGAGAACCCTACAAATGAATCCAGTCCTTACAGGAAATTCAGGCTCATTTATTCATAATTATAATACACAGAATATTGTAAGAGTAGACTAGCTTAGTAATTAATGCATTCTCATAGATTATTATATAAATAATTCTAGAATGAAAGTCAAACTTAGAGATTTTCTTTCAGGAAAAATAAACTTATGTATACAATATTTTTTTTTCACACAACGACAGGGCATTCGAAAAGTTAATTGTCATTATAAGTTTGAGGAAAGTAAAATTGCTTTTCTTGTTTCTTTACACATTTTATTTTTACATAATGAACATTGATGAACGTCTGGAGATGGTTTGGTATAAACATTTTTAGTATTCTATCGATTTGGACATTTTGAACATATTATAGAAACTTGTGTACACATTCATCTATAGCAGTCTGTAACAATGAAGCATGGTCACATCTTGTTCACTGCCATTCCAGAGACCCTGTTTATGTTATCTGCCTGTTAGCAAGAAAAAACAAAGTTTCACATCGCCTTCTACAGGCAAGTTTTTCTAACAAATATTCAATTAGTTCAAATATTTTTCTGCGTTAAGAAATATACAAATTTAATATTATGTTTTCATGCAGTTTGGAGGAAATTTAGAAACAGACAAGAGCAAATCAATTACTTTGTCCATCTTATGATAAGCAAGTGAAAAAACATGAAACATTAAAAACAGAGGTGATTAATATAAAAACACCAGAAACGGAGGTGAACAATATGAACACATTAAAAATAATTATATACCAAATCCAGAAACTCAACTGTAAAACAAAGTACCAGATACAGAAACCTGAACATACGGTGATAAACCCACATTGTAGAACTGAGGAGCATACACAGACAACTGTGTGTTGAAATAAAAAAACATATAATTAAATCGATAATTACAGATGCAAGATTCTTCCAGTTCTCCATTTGAGAAGTATAGTAATCTTATGAGAGGAAACCTCAAAGTAACCAAATTAACTGAGGTATATTTATTTACATAAAGATCTAAAAGCATCAAGAAAATGTATTTAAGGATCATGTTATGTTTCTTTTCAAACTCAGTATTATGACTCCAAGGAAAATGGATTAGAAAATGAGCAACATACCAACGAATAACACCAATTCCAAAAAATATGGAATTAATGTTCTTTAAACAGATTAATTTAAAACAATGTATTTAGAGACGCTGTCAATATAAATACGGTACCTTTTTATGTGAAAAAATAAAAACCACATAAACCATGCATCTTTCTCATAGATGTTTCACCTTATGTTGGTTGTTTGATCATGTAAGAGGAGTTAACTCAAAACAAACAGAACTTCTATAGCAAACTATTTAGCATAACGACTCTTAGTAAGAGCGAACTACACATCAAAACACAACATAAGTTGTCCTACGATCACATACAAAACACAAATTAAACTGTTCTACGAATACATACCTAAACACAACAAAACTTTCTTACGAGTATATAAAGTTTCAAACGAATACAGAGCAAAACAGAATATAAGCTGTCCTACGGACGCATATCAAAACACAAAATAAAATGTCCCCATGAATACATACCAGAACACAAAATAAACTGTCCTACGAGCGGTATCAAAACACAAAATAAACTGTCCAACGAACACATAACAAAACACAAAATAAACTGTCCTACAAACACATACCAAAACACAAAATAAACTGTCCTACGAGCGCTATCAAAACACAAAATAAACTGTCCTACGAACACATACCAAAACACAAAATAAACTGTCCTACGAGCGCTATCAAAACACAAAATAAACTGTCTTACGAACACATACCAAAACACAAAATAAACTATCCTACAAACATATACCAAAACACAAAATCAACTATCCTTCAAACACATACCAAAACACAAAATAAACTATCCTACAAACACATATCAAAAGACAAAATAAACTATCCTACGAGCGCTACCAAAACGCAAAATAAACTGTCCTACGAGCGCTATCAAAACACAAAATCAACTATTCTACAAACACATACCAAAACACAAAATAAACTATCCTACAAACACATATCAAAAGACATTTTGTGTTTTGGTATATGTATGTAGGATAGTTTATTTTGTGTTTTGATAGCGCTCGTAGGACAGTTTATTTTGCGTTTTGGTAGCGCTCGTAGGATAGTTTATTTTGTGTTTTGGTATGTGTTTGTAGAATAGTTTATTTTGCTTTTGATATGTGTTTGTAGGATAGTTTATTTTCAACTATCCTACAAACACATATCAAAAGACAAAATAAACTATCCTACAAACACATACCAAAACACAAAACAAACTGTCCTACGAGTATGTACCAAATACATAAAACTTTCACACGAATGCAGAACGAAGCACAACAAAAACTGTCCTACGAATATAACAAAAGAAAGTTGAAAACATTATTAGATTACAAAATAAGTGGACAATTCAAGGTGATAAGAAAACTTGTTTGTTTTACCTCTTACTTGATTTAACTACTGTAACGTTCAAATGCAGAGAAACAGTAGCAAAGAAGCTGTTGTTATTATTCATTAAACCCCGTGTTCGAAGTTACGCAAACCCGACTCATTAAGCGCTTTACGATTTTTTTATGCCGTCATTATTCTTTAATCATATTCAACAAATAACTTATTTTCTAGATAAACCACTACAATTGAGTAGGTACCATTGGTTTTTAATGCTTGATTTTAGAAAACTGAAGGACGTTTGTAACTATCAAAGCAGATATCACTAATGATCCAACTATTTATTCCCAGTAATGGAGCAAATTTAATTAAAAGATATGTCGCTTTTTATGGTCAACCATTACATTGTCCTTTCCTAAACATAGATATTATTTCGAGAAGTTACAGAAGTCTTTGTTAGGATTGAACAACTAAAAATAAAAAATAAGCTAAGAAAATATTTCAAAGAAAACAATAGGATCATTCACTTAAAACATTTGGACAGAAACGTTTTATGTGTCAGTATTTGATCTGAAGAGTTCTTATTTGGTAGATACTGCGTATTATATAAGAGTGATCATTCTGATAACTTTATTTTTTGCCAAGAAAAGTACATCATTAAAATAGAATGCTTTAATGGTTTTTAAAGAATTACCCAGAATCACTTCGTATATCTAGTATGTGTTCTAGTATAAAAATTGTTAATGTTTTCTTTTTTTCGTGCCCCGGCGTGGCCAGGTGGTTAGGGCGCTCGACTTGCAATCTGAGGGTCGTGGGTTCGAATCCCAATCCCACCAAACAGGCTCGTCTTTTCAGCCGTGGGGGCGTTATAAAGTGACGGTCAATCCCACTATTCGTTGGTAAAAGAGTAGCACAAGAGTTGGCGGTGGGTGGTGATGACTAGCTACCTTCCACTGCTAACTTAGGGACGGCTAGCGCAGATAGCCCTTGTGTAGCTTTGCGCGAATTTCAAAACAAACCAAATTCTTTTTCGTTGGAATACCCTTTTCCTTGAAAGACATCTTTGATCTTTGCTGTGGTGTCATGTCGTGTTCATGAAGGAATCTACAAAAATCAACATGCACGTTTTATTTAACCAACATTATTTAGATCAGCGTTTCTTAACCCTAAAATCCCGTGTACCACTAAAACGCAAGAACTGAAATCCTATGGACTGAAAAGGTGGCTCTGACGAAGCAGCGACGGTTCGCAGACCGTTTGTTGAGAAACGCTTATTTAAACAAGAAGCCCATTACTAGAAATAATACTTGAAAAACTTTCTCAGTGCTTTATCATCTCAAAGTTATATGCAGCATAGAAAGTGTACCTTTAAAAACGTATAGCCTTTTCTTATGAAGAAAAATGAAAACTATATATATTTTGTTAATAGAATCACTTCACAACGAAAGATACGATAAAGTTGAGAAAGGTCACTTGTTACCATCACAACAGATCAGGTATAACTATCAGATATAACAATAAAGGAATAGACCAATTAACATATATCCTTGGAATAACTATAGCCACTAAAATATATTCAAGTATAATCACACATAAATGTTTATCTGTGACATTATAAAATGCTAGAATACTATCTCATGAAAGTTAAACAAGAGGGAATCTTCAATAGTCGCGGTTGTAATTAGAGCTCAGATCGGTGAAGAGATGGAGCTATGAGCTAAAAGTTTGTACTTGAAGAAAACAAGAAAAGAAAACAAACTCAGAGCCATTCTATGAGCCGTTATGCCGCGGCTAAAAATAATAACTTGTATTCGAATTTAAAATATAAACTATATGAAAATAAAGTCACATGACAAATGATTTTGATAGTAAAAAATCTCAATCATTTTATGTTCTGTAAAAAACAAAGATGGAACTTATAAAACACGACTACGAAATATATCATACAATAACGGAACGCTTACACTTTACGGACTTCGTGGCGGTGAGCGACAATCTGGATGACGTCATACGCTCCTTCAGTAAGAAACCTTTTACGTTTCTCCTAAAAGATGGACAAAAACCATTAACCACAAACACCGTATTTTAATAAGCTAAAGATATCTGAGTATACCGTACAATCTGTTATGAACGACAAATAGTATGTTATAAATAGACGTAACGTTATGGCAATGTACGGTTGTCAGCATACATGTGCTGACAATGTATGAGTGTATCATCTATAGAAAACATTCCGACGATGTACGACCATACAGTATATAACATAACCTGACATCCTATAAGTTTACCATTTATCAGACATTCAAACTATATACAAACGTACAGCTAACAAAATGTTTTGACGACTTCGGCTGAACTGCAATTGAAAATAAATGATTCTGATTTCCTTAGATCATACTGTTTAAAAGATGTTCGAAAAATTCAAAGTATATATAAATATTAGATGTTCTGACCAACTATAAGTAAGAAAGCTACTTTTGCAAAATCTGATTATAGAACACTGGCCTTCCAGATTTACAAATATATCACTACAAGACACCGACAACGTATAATATTACGAATATGTCACTACAAGACACTGACAACGTATAATATTACAAATATGTCACTACAAGACACTGACAACGTATAATATTACGAATATGTCACTACAAGACACTGACAACGTATAATATTACGAATATGTCACTACAAGACACTGACAACGTATAATATTACGAATATGTCACTACAAGACACTGACAACGTATAATATTACGAATATGTCACTACAAGATACTAACAACGTATAATATTATAAATATGTCACTACAAGATACTAACAATGTATAATATTACGAATATGTCACTACAAGATACTGATAACGTATAATATTACGAATATGTCACTACAAGACACTGACAACGTATAATATTACGAAAATGTCACTACAAGGCACTGACAACGTATAATATTACGACGTTGTAATGATTAGCATTCATCACGGTGAAAATCTATTACCATATTTCCTCCTTTTCCATTTATTTCTGATTAGAAATTAGAATATAATTAAATTACCTATAGTTAGTGGGAGAGCAATAGGTGACAAATAAAAGACTGACAGTTAGGGATCTTGTTATCTCAAACAGAGGGTTGAGTACGTCGAATTAAAAAATTGAATATGCAAGTCTTGTGGCACTACATCTGATATAGAGTCTCAGTGAATCATATCTGCATGTTGAAAAGGTGTGGTGTTTCGCATGTAGAGTGATGGCACCGAAAACTGACTGCTTTTGGGAAGGGGACGTAAAATATTCATACATTCAGGCTATAAAGATGTGTTCAGGTCGAAGGATGATAATTTCTAATACGAAGATATCCCTTGTTCTTAATGGCATTGGAAAAGAAAGTAATGTAGATCAGTTTGGAACCCCGGGATCATCCAGAAATATACGTGCAACAGCCATGGTAAACAAATTTGTGTTTTCTTATTGCAAAGCCACATCGGGCTATCTGCTGTGTCCACCGAGGGGAATCGAACCCTTGATTCCAGCGTTGGAAATCCGAAGACTTACCGCTGTCCGACCGAGGGAACCCTGGTAAATAAAGTACGCCATCTAGTAAAATGTGAGAATCTACAAACATAAAGCTCAGTGGCAAAAGCCGCCCACGTGTTCTAGATAATAGTATGAAACATAACCAAGAAGGATCTTCATCTGGAATCGAGGTCAACAAGGTATTAGTATGCAACATAACCAAGAAGGATCATCATCTGGAATCGAGGTCAACAGGTAATTAGTATGCAACATAACCAGGAAGGATCTTCATCTGGAATAGAGGTCAACAGGGTATTGATTCACCGAGATGAAGCTTCCAGTCATACCTCCCATTAAATCCTCGCATATCTCGAGAAGCTGAAAAACGAAATGGGTATTCATGATATTCCATATCAGGACATACCGGTCAAGTCGCCAGATGCAGTTCCTATTGATTTCTGGACGAACGGACTGTTAACATCTGCAGGCTTGTACACTACATAGATTATGGAAGCGTCAGTAAAGAATGATGCGATTTGGACATGAAAGCCTTACGAAGAAGCCTTTTGCAATGAAATGTATGCTGCAGAATTACTGTCAAGATGCACAGTCGTCATATAGAGCATTACCGGACGTAGTGAAATGGACTATAACGACGTGGTGCGGTTCCAACATCGTTTTAATTTGACCTCAACCTCCATATTTCTCTCCTTTGATATTATATAACAAAAAGAAACGTTTAACCATATTTATTTCAATTTTGACTAATTTCAACGTATTACGTACAAAGTACATTACAGAGAGTAGATTCGCTATTAATGTCTAGAAAAGTTTTAGACAGCTGAATTCTCGAAATAAACATAATATGGATATAAGTTAAACCTCTAATGTTTGTTTCTGTCTTTCACAGAGATACAACTATAAATGGCTTGGTGGTTAGGGCGCTCGACTCGCAATCTGCGTGTCGCGGGTTTGAATCCCCGTCACCGTGGCGTTATACCATTACAGTCAATCCCACTATTCGTTGGTAAAAGAGTAGACCAAGTGTTGGTTGTGGGTGGTCTTGACTAACTGCCTTCACTATATTCTATCACTGCTAATTTACGGACGGCTAGCGCAGATAGCCCTCTTGTAGCTTTGCGCGAAATTTAAAAGAAATCTTTCATTTTGTTATGTCCCCGGCAGCTCAGCGGTAAGCTTGATGGCTTATAACACTAAATTTCATGGTTCGATCTTCAGAGTGAGATAGCACAAGCGTTATAATGTAACCACCAATCCCACTATTCGTTGGTAAAAGAGTAGTTCAAGAGATGAATAGCTACTATTCTGCTATTCTATCACTGCTAAATTAGGAACGGCTAGCGCAGATAGCCTTCCTGTAGCTTGGTGCGAAATTCAAACCAAAACAAACAGCTCTATGCAATAGCATAACATCTGATCCTCACATTAGAATTAAAAGAATATTTTACAGCTGTAGACTAACAAATGCAGGGAGAGGAAGAGGTTCAAGTGAACCCGACACTTTCAAATCCCGATGCCGACACGCGCACTCTTAAACTATCATAACAATAAACTCTACTTGGTAAACTAAGCATCTGAAGCTGACAGGATTGTCAACCTACTGAAGAAAAAAAAATCACAAAATTTTGCTCTTGTTCATAAACGATATTACCTATGGGCATAGTTATATATTAAATTACGTAGAACCCAGATACAACCAAATTATCAGAAAAATAGAAAAAGAAAGGATGTGATATCCTCGTATTTTAAAACCAATTCTGGTGTAGGCTCTGAAAAAAATCAGTGCAAATGAAATGTTCACTTTATATTCCACGTGAATTGTTTGGTAATTGTAAACGGTAACCAAACAATATTTTCTAATCTAATTTTTTGTACTATCCAATGTTAGACATACTTAGAACAAATTTCATACTTTTCAATCGTAACTGAAAAAAAAGGCCCTGAACAATAATTCACGTTCTTATTTGTTCTACATAATTTAAGGAACAAACAATTAATATCTATCGTGGCAGATTTATAACGTCATTCCTCGCTCTGACAATTATTTAAAAGTTTCAGGATAAAAATTGGGAAGCACATTTCAATGACAGAAGAGCTGTGCCAATGGTAGAGCGAGTAGTGCGTCCGTACTGGTAAAGCGAGTAATGCGTCCGTACTGGTAGAGCGAGTAGTGCGTCCGTACTGGTAGAGCGAGTAGTGCGTCCGTACTGGTAGAGCGAGTAGTGCGTCCGTACAGAGCGCCGACTCGTAAGGGGAGCGAGTTTGTGTCTTATGAAGGCAAGGATTATTTTTTTTTCATTTTGAGGAGGGGCACAAAATTTATATCTCTCATAGATCGATACGGTTTTGGGTGGCAACAAAGAAATGAAGCAATTTTGGTCATCGTCTCTTAACCTTAAAGATTATGTCATGAACTTCAATTTTTTTAACGTTGATAAATGATTTGTATCAAAATTTTGACTGGTAGGAAGGTTTGTCGATGAGATATCAGTTGAAATAAAACCAAAGTTTAAGATAAGGACTGCATAAAAAAATGTCATTTTAAACATCTAGTAATCACAACATTAGTCTCAATTTTGTTTCAACAGTGGCGTCGGAAGCAAATATTGGAGGAGCTTAGTCACGAAAGAAAATATAAACACTTTTTGAAAGTTTATTAAAATATCGATAAGTGCCATTTACAATAAAACAAAGTCATTTCGCCCTTTTTCACCTGTAGATTTGACAAAATTACTAATCAAGAGCGGAATATTAAGTAAATCAACCCTATCTCTACAAACGTTTAAAGTAATTAAAGAATTAAATCTCTATTGAGTTATACTGCTTATAAGATCTGACTTAATGTGTCCAAGTGTGCTAACTACACGCTCAGTTCGGGCTGTAGTCGCGGGAGAAGTAAAATATAATCGCACTAGTGTTACAACCACCAGGACCATTTTCTTCATTAAAGTCTGAATTTTTGAAGATATTTCTACTCTTCTAATTATTTTATTGGAGATAATAAAGTCCTTCGCGTTCCTTTGCCTCCAACGCCACTAAGCGTCAAGTGACTTTCAGTACCATGTTATAAATGTAAAGAGTTTCTCGAATTAATGTCTTGTAACTAGAGCATTTTACAACAAAAGTAACATATGATACTTTGTCTTCCTTTAGGAAATCAAAATGTCAAAAGCAGTATAGATAAATGTGATGACATTAAGATCAGTTAACAGAAAATTTACTGTAAACATAAGTTGACAGGAAATTTCAGGTTAGTATCATCACACAAAAGTAGAACTTCTGGCTACGACTGTATAAGATTACTAGTTACAGAACCAATTAGTGACTTAGAAGTTATTGAAAGAAAGTGCCTTGGGTGTAGCATAATAGTATGCACATTTTCTTCTCTTTATTAAGGCAGCATTATGATCAAAGTAGGAGGGTTGAGGCATTGCATTCTCAAAACAAATGAAGGCTCATTAAAGAAAGTAGTAAAACTATGAAAAAATCGAGTGATTCGTCTTATTTCAGGAGATATCGAATTAATGAGTAAATCTGAACAGATCAGGTAATTCATGCACCTTTAAGAGCTAAGTAAACTATGATTCGATCACGTGATCGGTGTTCCCTTAGGAGTTATCAAAATTATAATTTGATCAGGTGATTCGTGTTTCCTCAACATTTAGCTATGATTCAAACAGGTGATAAATGTTCCTTTAGAAGTTATCAGAACTATGATCAAGTTAAGTGGTTCGTGTTCCTTCAGGAGTTATCAGAATTATGATCTAGTTAAGTGGTTCATGTTCCTTCAGGAGTTATTAGAACTCTGATCTCGTTAAGTGGTTCGTGTTCCTTCAGGAGTTATCAGAATTATGATCTAGTTAAGTGGTTCATGTTCCTTCAGGAGTTATTAGAACTCTGATCTCGTTAAGTGGTTCGTGTTCCTTAAGAAGTTATCAGATCTATGATCTAGTTAAGTGGTTCGTGTTCCTTCAGGAGTTACCAGAACTATGATCTCGTTAAGTGTTTCGTGTTCCTTCAGGAGTTATCAGAATTATGATCTAGTTAATTGGTTCGTGTTCCTTCAGGAGTTATCAGAATTATGATCTAGTTAAGTGGTTCATGTTCCTTCAGGAGTTATTAGAACTCTGATCTCGTTAAGTGGTTCGTGGTCCTTCAGGAGTTATCAGAATTATGATCTAGTTAAGTGGTTCATGTTCCTTCAGGAGTTATTAGAACTCTGATCTCGTTAAGTGATTCGTGTTCCTTAAGAAGTTATCAGATCTATGATCTAGTTAAGTGGTTCGTATTCCTTCAGGAGTTACCAGAACTATGATCTCGTTAAGTGGTTCGTGTTCCTTTAGAAGTTATCAGATCTATGATCTAGTTAAGTGGTTCGTGTTCCTTCAGGAGTTACCAGAACTATGATATTTTCAGGTAATTCATATTTTTTAGGAGTTTCAGATTCTACGATCAGATCAGATAATACGCGTTCTTTCAGATGCTTTCAACTCTAGTTTACAACGACATATTTTACCGAGTTACCAAGTATGCAACTTAGATATCATTCACTAATAAACTTAAATTTTAAGTGAAAGACAATAAAAACATTTAAATTATAAACGTTATTTTTACGGAAACCCTTGCATCAAGACAAAGGCTAATATTTTATCATCAAACGCTTTGTGACTCAGCGGTAAGTCTGTACGATTGTAACGCTAAAAATCGGGTTTCTATACCCGCGGTGGGCACAACACAGATAACCCATTGTGTAACTTTGTGCTTAACAAACAAACAAAAAAAAACAAGGTGAAACACTACTGTTATGCAGACAGCATACTTGTTGTAGCTATAAAACATTATTAGAGTTTTTCAAATGTTTCATTTTCTGACTTTAAAACTTAAAACTACCAAGTATGGACATTTACTTTAACGTAATATCACTCGTTTCTTAGTCTTTCGTCATTAAAACAAAGTATTTAATTTAAAAATATAATAATGTTTCAATAAGACATTGTTTCTTTATTGAAAAGAAGGAGATATACTTAAATAATCTTTTCATAGAAAAACAAACAAACAAAACAACACTAGTTTTATACCAAGTGTTATATTTCATAAGATAATTTAGTAAGATGTTCTTCATATCTGAAATATTTGAAACGTATAACATCATATGTTAAAATACATTTACTTACGTTTATGCTGATCATTGCAATGTGTCGGAAACTTCCGTACATTTCAGTCATTACAGGAAGTCGAAGGAAATAGTATTTCTTATCAGCTGTAAAAAGGGGAGCATCGTACATATCTACCCAACCAGTTTTACTGGTTTCTTCTAGGTTCTGTAAGAAAGAAATGGGAAATGCTAGTGACATTTATTTATTTCCACCTACCCAGATGTACTGATTTTGTTCAGTTTCTGCGGATCAACCCCCACCTGTGTACAATATTCTTCAATCGCTAAGTATTGTACACACTCATTTTTCTTCATCATTTGCTTTAATATAAAACGTTTTAGTGATTTTTTTATATGAATTGAAAAATGTTAGACATTTGGTGATCTTACAAGCACTGATGATTATATTGTATTGAGGGTTATACAAGTACTAATAATTACAGAGGCATTTTATTTATACAGGTGTAGGATGTTATACACTTGAGGTTCTGGAAGTTTAGATAATTATATTGTATTGAGGGTTATACAAGTACTAATAATTACAGAGGTATTTTACTTATACAGGTGTAGGGTGTTATACACTTGAGGTTCTGGAAGTTTGGATGATTATATTGTATTGAGGGTTATACAAGTACTAATAATTACAGAGGTATTTTACTTATACAGGTGTAGGGTGTTATACACTTGAGGTTCTGGAAGTTTAGATGATTATATTGTATTGTACAGAAGCATTTTAACTATACAAGTGTATAAGAATTGGTAGTTATACCGATGGTTTATGGTTAAATGGATAGAAATTAATGTATTATGATTTACATGCACTGATATTTATCTATTTACACATCAGTGATATTACATGTTGATAGTAATACGGCTAGACGTGGTTATATAGAATTACTGTTGTACATGTATTGGTAGTAATATAATTATTGATTACACAAATTAAATGGTTACATTGGTACTTATCATCACACATCTCTTTAAAAGTATTCAGACTTTATGTATAGTCGTTAGTTCCCAACTGAGTGATTAATGCCGGTCTTCCTGAAAACACAAAGAAACTTTTGAAGTTCTAAATTCAATTAACTGGTAATCCTAGCTGTTAAAACCTGTTAGTTAAAACCAACTTCATCTGTCTCTTGAGTTAAACGTTAATCCTAGAAGTTAAGACCAACTTCATTTGTCTCTTGAGTTAAACGTTAGTCCTAGAAGTTAAGACTAGCTTTATCTGTCTCTTGAGTTAAACGTTAGTCTTAGAAGTTAAGACCAGCTTCATCTGTCTCTTGAGTTAAACGTTAATCCTAACAGTAAAAATCAACTTTATCTGTCTCTTGAGCTAAACGTTAATCCTAGCAGTTAAAACAAAATTTATCTGTCTTTCGAGTTAATTTCAGTCCGAGAAGTTAAGACTAATTTCATCAGTCTCTTAAGTTAAACGTTAATCCTAGCCGTTAGACTCAACATTTCGAATTTTCGTTCATATTCTATTTTGTCAAATTCGATCAACATTTCTCTTGTAGCATGACGGCTGCAGTAATCTGATCACATAGCTTGAAGCCGAAGCTAATATTAGCACTTCCTACACTTCACAGACATTAAACCAGATGTCATTGAAGGTTCTCTTCTCTTCTTTTCAATCACTTTGCTGGTATTGAACAACAAATAAATATGTAACATTGAAGCTATTTTAATATAATAGAAAATGTTTACAAATAAAATACTTTACTAGAAGTCGTTAATATATCAGTTTGAGTTTATTGTTGGCATCTTGAACTGTACGAAACAGCGGAAGATTTGAACAAATGTTCATGTTAAACTAAACAAGTTTGTCTTACTCACTGTATCATGTTCATGTTAAACTAGACAAGTTCACCTTACTCACTGTATCAAGTTCATGTTAAACTAGACAAGTTCACCTTACTCACTCTATCACGTTCATGTTAAATTAGACAAGTTCACCTTACTCACTGTATCATGTTCATGTTAAACTAAACAAGTTCACCTTACTCACTGTATCATGTTCATGTTAAACTAGACAAGTTCACCTCACTCACTGTATCATGTTCATGTTAAACTAGACAAGTTCACCTTACTCACTGTATCATGTTCATGTTAAACTAAACAAGTTTGTCTTACTCACTGTATCATGTTCATGTTAAACTAGACAAGTTCACCTTACTCACTGTATCATGTTCATGTTAAATTAGACAAGTTTGTCTTACTCACTGTATCATGTTCATGTTAAACTAAACAAGTTCACCTTACTCACTATATCATGTTCATGTTAAATTAGACAAGTTTGTCTTACTCACTGTATCATGTTCATGTTAAACTAAACAAGTTCACCTTACTCACTGTATCATGTTCATGTTAAACTAAATAATGTTTGTCTTACTCACTGTATCACATGCCCATCCGTTTCTTTCGTGGCATACACTGACAACAGAGAAGTTTTGGGTGCGACGTAACCAGACTGCAGCTAGTCGAGTGCGATCAATCCAGGTAACTTGAGTGAAATAATGTTCTCTACAGAAAATAATGGAAGTTTATCAGCAAAAAGATACAGCAGTTTGTGTGAAGATGATCAGAATCACATTTCTTAATGGAAAATGTCAAACACGCCCTCTTCTATAACACTATTTTCACAGTGTTGCAGAGCCTTCGTAAATGTTTAAATTTTATTACGAAGAAAGCCAGCCTAAGCATTATTATTAAAACTCGTGGTTTTAAGCAAAAAAAAAACAACAAAAAACAAACAAAAAACAAAAAAACTTACGTTAGGGACATGGGAATAAGATACATCGTTATAAACAATCATCTACATACCGGTACAGAAATAATAGTCAGTTGTTTTATTCTTGGTAGTCAAACGTGCTGACAAAAAGTGAATACAGTAGAATGTTTCGTATACAATTACATAAATGGGCCTCTCACAGACATATTCTATAACAACAATTTATTACAAACGTCAGGCTTACAATAAACGTTGACAAATAGCATTGTTAAAACGATCATATAACCAACAATTCTTGTTCTTTTTACCCTAGCGCTAATCACGTTTCACAATAGAATGTTAAGCGTGGTTGATATTAATAACTTGCTCTACACTTTCGTATCACAGCAGATAAGATTCATTACTTCAGTAACAACCAATAACTAAAGAATAATTTTGATCCTAGCGAAGTTATGTTCATTTACTGCTGTCGTAATCAGTGTAGTACAAATGTATTCTCCATTCATAAAGTGGATTTAGTTGTCCATTCAATGGTAGTAATGTATAATCAGTGGTGTTATATTTTTTTATTATAAGCTATTAGTACTTTGTATTGAACAGCAAAATAAGCTCAATGTGCTATACGTCATTGTAACTTATGATTAACTCAGTTGTAGTGTTAGATTTAAGCTAGGGCTAGACAGAGGTGAGGATCATGATATTAGTTTGTTTATTTGTAGTTATGCACAAAGCTACACAATAGGCTATCTGTGTTCTTCTCACCACGGATATCGAAACCCGGTTTCTAGCGTTGTAAGTCCGCAGATATACCGCTGTGCCACTGTGGGGCTGATATTAGTTAATTAGAAAATATGACAGGAAAACATATACAACAGGCAAAAAACATGAACATATTATAAAATCTATGATTAATTGTTACTATTGTAATGTTAGGGTATTAGAAATAAAATTGATATGTTCAAAGAAGTTGTAGAAATTGAGGATTTTGATATTATGGGTATCACTGAGACTTGGCTGGATTTGAACAATTTTGGTGAGAGAAATTTTTTGAAATACCAGGCTACAGATTATTTACTAGAGATAGAGTATTGAAAAAAGGGGAAAAGTAGCTTTATATGTGAGGAGTGAATTGCATTCTGTTGAGTTAGAACATATTAAAAAAAATAGCACTGAGGTTGAGTCAGTTTGGGTCAGTGTTAATGGATATAAAGGGAAAAATATTGTAATTGGGATTTGTTATAGATCACCAGATCAGAATGTGGAAGTTAATTAGAAATTGTATAATGAGATGAGAATAGTAGCTGAAAAAGATGTTGTTATTATGGGAGATTTTAATTTCAGGGGTATTGATTGAGAAAGTTTCGAGTCTGACAGTGAGGGGGATAGGTTTTTGGAAATTATTCAGGATACTTTTATACACCAACTGGTGATGGAACCTACAAGAGAGGAAGCTATATTAGGTTTACTATTAGCATCTGATATGAATATTATAGAGAGGGTTGTGGTTGGTGATCATTTAAGTACAAGCGATCATTGTACTATTGGGTTTCGGATTTTACCACATGTACAATTGAGATGGAATAGTACCCTGATTACAAATTTCACGAAAACCAATTTTGATGGAATGAGATATGGTCTGACTTCTGTAGATTGGACTAAAGTGTTAGGTGGGGAACTTGAACAGATGTGGGAAGCATTTAGGGAAAAATTGATATGCATACAGAACATACACATTCCCTACAGAAAAAAGGGCAACGGAGCAGAGTAAGCCAGTATGGTTTATTAAAAGTTTAAGAGATCATATTAGGGATAAACATAACAAATTCAAGAAATTTATACTTACTGGAAATAATAAAGACTTGGAGCACCATAGGAAATCAAGAGAGTAGATAAAAAGAAAGTTAAAAGGGCAAAACTATATATGAAAGAAGGTTGGCTGAGAGAGTTAAATCAAACAATAAGGAATTCTTTAGGTATATGATGGGTAAACAAAATGTTAGGATGGCGATTGGGCCTCTTTAAAATTATAATGGGGAGCTGATCTCAGAAGATTATGAGATGGTAAACTTATTAAATTATATGTTCTCTTCAGTTTTTACAAAGGAAATACAAGTATCATGCCTCAACTACGGCACTTAATGTACGGGGAAAATATTGATGTAAAAGATATCATTTTACGTTCTGAAACTGTAAGAGAAAAGTTGGGAAACCTAAAAATTGATAAATCCCCTGGACCAGACAATTTTTATCCTACAGTTTTAAAGGAACTTAAAGATTTTATTTGTGAAATGCTAGCTAATATTTTTCATAGGTCATTGAGTCGTGGAAGAGTATTAAAAGATAGGAAGTTGGCTAATGTTAGTCCAATATTTAAAGGAGATGATAAACATTGTGCAGGCAATTATAGGCCAGTTAGTCTTACATCAGTAGTTGGAAAGGTATTGGAGAATGTGATTAAAGATGTATTACAGAGTCACTTAAAACAGTTTGATATAGTGTCAAAGAAAAATGGTTTCACTAAGGGAAAGTCTTGTTTAACAAATCCTCTGACATTCTTTGAGGATGTTACTGCAAGAGTTGATGAAGGAAATACTGTTGATTTGATTTGCCTTGATTTTATAAGCATTTTATAAGGTGACTAACAAAAGACTTATTATAAAAATTAAATATGTGGGTGTAGAGGAAATGTTATTAAATTGGATAGAAAATTGGCTGGAGAGTAGAAAGCACAGAGTAGTAATAAATGGAGTTAGATCTGGCTGGATTATAGTTACAAGTGGTGTGCCTCAGGGCTCTGAGCTGGGTCCTCTTCTCTTTGTGATTTATATTAATGATATTGACTCTGGAATGACTAACAATATTTTGAAGTTTGCAGATGATATTAAGATTTTTGGGGTGGCTAACTGTATAAAAGATGCTGCAGACTTATAGGGAGATTTAGATCATTTGATACATTGGGCCAATAGGTGGCAGATGATATTTAACTATCCAAAATGTAAGTTGATACATGTAGGTTTTCACTATTCAAATTATTGTTACAATTTGAATGGGAATACATTAAATACTATGGTTGAAGAAAAAGATCATGGTGTTGTGATCGAAAAATCACTTAAGTCATCTAAACAGCGGTAGGCCTAATATGAATTTGGGTAGCATCTATCGAAATAATGAATACAAGACAAGGGTTATTATTGTTTCACTTTATAGATCACTTGTAAGGCCTCGTTTATAGTACTGTGTACAGTTTTGGGCTCCCTTCCTCAAGAAGGACATTGAATTGTTGGAGAAGGTTCAAAGAAGAGTCACAAAGGAAGGTGGGATTGTCCTATGAGGAGAGATTG